TGTAGCACTCACACCTATAATCCCAGCATTGGATCATGAATCAATCATAAACTCTAAAAGCCTGCCTCATGACTGCATAAGGCTTTGGGGGGATATCCAGACACAAACCATAACAACAATGGTCCCCAAAATAGAGCAAATATACCTTTAAGGTAAAAGAGGATTCATTGGAAAGCAAGAACAAAATACTATTTTCATGTGTGCTTTATAATTATGTAGTACATTAAAATAGCTGTGTGTTTTTAAGTAAATATTATTATATAAGAATTTTATGCTCAAAAATTCCTCTTTATACGCATAGTATGGAATAATCACAAAATCTCAGTACAGCTATTGAAGACAAATGAAGTCAGATATGCATGCCCAGTTCTTTTTTTGTTATAAGGTCTTGTGTGGTTCAGACTGATCTTTGATTCCTGGGCTCATGTGGCCTTCCCACCTCAGTTTCCTGAGTGTGTGCCCTGGCACCCAACCAGCTGTATAGTTTTCAGTCCTGTGTTTTGTGACAAATTTGATAATTCTTATAATTCCTTTGCTAATGAAAGTTTAGGTATCCTTCTAATGTCATTCAGCTCACATGCAAAATCTGAGTTCCAGTGAAAAGAACTCTAGATCAGGTGTCAGACTTATTTTTGTTCTATTTCTGCTGATTACTAATGGAGAAAGTTATGACAAATCCCTTGATGTCTCCCTTTTTAGTTTTCAAATTGGTGTACCAAAACCTCAGATACTGTGGGTTTTCACTATGCAGAATGGGATTGGTAAGAATGACTTACACTGTTAACATGCTAATATTATCCCTTAGTTATTGTGGACCTGTCAGGCCTGCAATAAAATAGTGTAGGGTGAAGGCTTAAATAAATGGTCAAGTGGTATAATTTTAGGGCTTCAGGAGGATCAAAACCATCTCACAGAGTTTGAGATTCTCTGGGACTAAGACCAAGATCTTCTTTGGGCTACCCATATTTATTTAGTTATCAAAACAAGGGAGGAGGATACGAAGAAAGGCAAGAACTGCTTGAGGACTTCTTCAAGTGAGATATTATATTAATTTAGGAGAACTATGTTATCTCCAGGAAGGTCTCCACCCAGGAGAGAGAGGCCTGCAGCTACAATCTTTAGTTGAGGTTGGAGCCAGGTGTCCTTAGCTGAGGTCTTGTCATGTCCTTTGTGGTGTTATGGCTTCACCCACCATCATAGGCCTAGGTAGGGGTCAGTTACTCACAGAGGTTCACTTATGACAAGTCTACCACCCATCTCCAGACAAAGAGGTTAGGCCTTGGACAGACTCACAAGTAAACATGAAAAACCAACTGGTTAATTTAAATCCCTCTCAGAGCCATTTGTAGCAGTCTCCATCATATTTGACCACAGGAAGCTAGTCATTTATGTTCCTGGTACAATTCTGAGCTTCTTTTAGGTGAAATGTCTAGTGCTTGTGCCTGGTCATGAAGATGCCTGGTGCATCTTTGTAGCCAATGATGTGGCTATGGAGCCACTCTAGTGCCAGTTATTCTTGACAGGCAACCATTCTGATAGAGTCAGAAAGATTGAGCTGAAATAAGTGTATCTGCTCACTGTTTCTCAGGACATAAGCTGAGTTATGTTATCCCAGTGCTACCTCTGCCAAACATGCAGTAGATGCTCAACAAATATTTTTAAATTGACTAGCAGACCCTGAGCAACATGCAAGCACCACGCCCAGCAACTATGTGGTGGCTCCTGTGAATTACTGCTGCCTAAAGATCAAAACGTGACCTGCAGTCCCCAGGGCTTGGAGTGGGTTGTGTTGAGGCATCACTCCTCTGTGTCAGCCTGCCTCGGTCATGTGCAGTGTGTCCAGCCTTGCTTTTCTTTCTCTCTCTACCACTGCTTGGCTGTGATTTTCACAGTTTTGAAGCTCTGTAACCCATGCCAGCTCAAATATAGTCTGATTTTATAACCTGGCAAAGCACTTGCTGGTAATTTGTGTGAAGCAAAAAATACCTTTATAAAAGAAAGCCAAGCCAGCATCTACTATTGAAATTGCATTTTGCACAATGCATATAGGAAAATGGTTAACAGTGTGATTTCTGAGAATGAGGTAGGGTTGGTGTGGCTTAATGCCATGACAGCCCGTCTCTCTTTAAGCTTCTGTTTTGGTGCCATTTTATAGAAACATAGATGTGTTTCCTTGTTAAGCATAAAATCCAAAATTACTGGAGAGGAAAAGATGTGTGACAAAGAGAAGTTAGAGCACTAGTTGGGATCTGAGGTCAGGAAAAGATTACAAAATGCTTTGGGATGTTGTGTTCTGGCATTGACACAGGCAGCCACATCCTGTGGTACTGTATTTTGTGAATGGTGATATATTTCAGAAGATAGTTTCAGTGTTTTAAGAAGGATATGTCCTCTAAAAGGTGTGACCTAGAATACAGAGCCCCAAGTCAAGAATACCCAAGGGCTTTTCCCCATTGTGGTCGTGGAAGCGAACCCTGGGTCTTTGAACTGAGCTACATCCCTAGAGCTTTTCTGTATTTTATTTTGAGACAAGTCTTTAAGTCATGGAGTTGCTGAAGCTGGGCTTGAAGTCAGCATCCTTCTGCCTAGGCCTCCCAGAGTGCTGAGATTCCAGGCGTAAATCACCATGCTTGGCTAAAAACCCAAGTGTGTTTCAGAGCATTTTTTGGGTACTGGAAATTGAACTTAGGATCTTGTGTTTGCCAGGTAGGCACTATGCTCCTGAGCTATGTCCCTAGCATGGAGAGCAATTTTTATATGTGGGTTCTTTGGTATATTTGACTTTATACCATATCAATGTAAACAGTCAGTGATACAAATTTTATTTCTTTAAAAAACTTGAATTTAGGTCTATCCCTGTATGAATACTACTGCCCTACTAGTAGGGTAGTTGTATCTACCACAGAGCTATTTTTTTCCATGTTAAATTTTATTTCTGCTTTGTTGGATAAGTTCATTGGGTCTATAAACATTTTTTGAACCTGTATACCACTCTAGGTATGGGGCATGTGAGGTGGCAAAGACCAGACAAGGCCCTTGCTATCATGGAGCTTAGAATCCAGATTAGCAGGTGTAGGGTGGAGAGACTCACTGTAAGGAGCTAAGAAAAGAAAAACCAGGATACAAGCAGCCCTGTGATTAAAACTAAACAGTGTGAGGAGTTAGGTGAGACCAGGGAACTGCTGCAGAGTGGTAGTTTGGAAAGACTTCTTTGAGGAAGCAATTCATAAACCAGGGCCTGCAGGACCAGAGAGAGCCAGATGTGGGATCATTTGAAGGAAGAACATTTCAGGGCAAGGTTGCCTGGAGCTGCATACCTAGGGAGGGGAAAAAGCTTGTAGGGGTCAAGAGCTTGCTGTGTGGTTGGGACTTTCTGAGGCTGGTAGGGAGGAAGAAGCTGGCAGGGTAGGGACATGGGCATGTTCAACCTGAAGGACAAGGTAAGCAGCCTAGGAGTTTGATTAGGGGAATGACATGCTGATTTGGGTTCTTAAAGAACTCTGACTACCTGCTGACTGAACAGGCAAGAGAATTGGGGACGCCCACTGCTAAGGTATGGCCTGACATCCAGATGGCTTAGATAGGGTGATTTAGACTTGGGGTGACAGTAGTAGCTGAAACTTGCTGAGGGAGACAAGGAGCTGGGGAGGGATAGGATCAGAAATGGTTCTTAACTGTTAGGCTTGGGCAGCTGGGAGATGTGTTTCCTAGGACGAGGAAAGCAGGGAGAAACAGATTTAGGGGGAAATCAGTGGATCCTTTGGATGTACCATGTTGAGATGCCACCATACAAATGTCAACTAGGCAGTAAGATGTGCTAGCCTGCACAGTCAGAAGGGCAGTCAGAAGTAGAGGTATGTAGGTAGGTGTAATCTCTATACATAGCGATGGTATTTAAAGCCGCAGCCTTGACCCTGAGGCTGTCTGTTCATTGCTGTTTGCACACTACACCCGCCATCACTTGGGCTAAGTTTGTCTAGACAGACTGCTTCTGTCTCCCAGCTTTTCCTTGGCTGCCTTTGCTTTTATCATCAGAGATCCCCAATGCCAAAAACAAATGGAAATAGTAAAAGGAAACATTTGCTGGACCCATAACAAGAGTGACAGGAGTATTCTCATTTGTATAATTCTCAACATTTTGATCACCACATTATTTACCAAATTAAACATTGATCTTAAAAGTGAGTAAATCGTATTAAAGATGGGTTCTAGATTCACATTGTACTTTTTAAACACTATAAACTAATAATATATTTTACTGGATCTGTAATATAAATAAGTATTAAAACTAATGTAAGTTACACAAAAGAAAGGTTCTAGTGCTACTGATTTCCTCCACTGTTTTACATGCCACTAGCCTATTTTATTGAAATAAACTAAACTAGAAAAGAAACAAACTAAAACTAGGAAAATATGAAAATATGCCTTTACTTCCAGATAGTATTTGCATTTTAGATTTGACATTTAATTTTATTGGAATAGTTTTAATATATGTATATTTTACATTTTTAGTTGACCTTTGTGGCTTCTTCAGTTACTTTTTGCTTTGCAAACAGTTAATGAGTCCTTGATTGATCAATACTGCATGTTTCTACTTGTTTTGTGAGAAACCACTTTGAAGATATCAATATGTAGTACAACAAGCATCGTTAATTTCCTACCACATTGTTTGTAACTCTGTATTCTTTGTATTGTTCTTTTGCTATTTTGTAAATGGTTGTCTGTCTGTTAATGTTTTTGTACTTTTATTTTTAAAATAAAAAAGTAAAAAATAAAAATAAAAATATTTTTTGCTTTGCAAAATGCTCCCTATCCCTCTAGGTTTGCTGCTAGTTTTATGGCTAGCTTATTTTTTTTACTTATAAATGCATGTGGAATTTACTGTGTTGTATAGAGCAAAGTTCAAAGTTTCATTGTATTTTTGCCTTCTTGTAATAATTTGGGGTAAAAATAACAGGAATGAACCTTTGTTTCTCTTGACTGATTCTTGCTCGTTGCAGGCCAGCGCTTCAGACCTCCAGCTAGCTGGCCATGTGGTGAGCTCAAGGACAGCATTGGGTAGGACGACAGCCATCAGAGAGCTCCTCCTGTCTGTTCTGAAGGGTTCCCATTGGCTCCAGCCTGGCAGGATGGTGTCACAGTCCATGGGCTGGCGGGATTCTCCTGTGATCCCCTGGGAAAGGATCAGCCATGACTCTGGGGACAATGACAGTTCAGCGAGATTCCAGGACATGGGGCCTTCTCCTTGCCAGTTAGATGTCAGGTTCACAAGGCACAAAGCTGCCTGGATTATGCCCCCGTGTGTGCAGCAACCACTGCAGGACTTGGCCCCCCAGCTACAAACAGCAAGGAACAGTGAGAAGCACTCTGTGGCCCATGCTGCCTCTCCCTTGGGCCCTTTGCTGCTGTCCCTCAATGACCTGGCAGAGACATCATTACCTGAGGATACCATGGACTTTGTGGGCAGAAGCACTGCCCATGGTTCAGGAGAAAGCAGTAACAGCTTCTCCTTGGCCTCCACAGAAGAGCCAATGGCACTCCCAGGAGAGTCTCAGCAGGCATCTCTGTCCACAGAGACATCTCTGTCCAACATTTTGACCACTTCCCCGTTGTCTGGGGTTGACAGTGCTGTGTCTGAGTCTTCCCACTTGACAGCTTCTGAGGATGAAGGTAACTTTAGTCAGTCTCACCTCATTCCCATCTGTTCACTTGCTCCCTTGGTCTGTGTCTAAAATCTGCTTGTTGTCATCCTCTTGAGAATACAGTTCCTCAGCTTCTGCTTTGACTGGAAGCCAGTGCATGAGCTCATTTAGTGTGATCTCCAGCCCAGGCACTGGATGATCACAGCAGGAGAACCAAGACTGTTTTCTTAGGCTGTAGCGGAAAGTCATATTTTCAGTTCAGCATAGTTGTCTTGTGGAACTTGCAGCTCGTTAAATTGTCTGCAGGGTAGAGTATCAGTAGCATTTACAACTCTGTGGGTGGCAGGAGGCAAGTCCAGACAGGCCGGAGTCCATGTCCACCACACTTTCTGGAGCCAGCAACTTGCCTTGCCGGTCTGTTTACCTGTACAGATTGTGCTGAGAACACAGTAAAATGAAAAGTAATAGCCCCAATTCCTCAGAAAGACTATATGAAGCTTTCATTTTATTGAAAGAAGGGCTTGCAGTGCTGAGGTGTAGTGTGCATGTTCCTAAAATTTCTAAAATGAGCAAAAAATCCATGCAAAGTACCACCCAGTAGTCACTTCGTTAGCTATGGTTGTTTGGGGTGTACATATTTTATTTTTAAACCCATTCATTATATTCATCACAAAAATGTTATTTATATTTAAAAATATTAATTATGCTACATTTGCATTATTTATATTTCTACAAGAACCCTAGTTCAAGTTGTTGATAAATTTTTTCCCTCATATTAATTTAAAAAGCTGTCAACTTATGTTTGCTCATAATAGTGGCAGAGTAGAGGAGTAGCTACAGATACGGTATGATATTCCCTGATATTCCTATGATATTCCATGCCTAGCCCTTTAATAAAAAAGTTCAACTCTGATGGCTTCTGAAGCCAAGAGTTCCCACATGTTCCATACTGCAGCTACTTTCTTGGACATGAGGCAAGATATTTGAGTAACCCCGCTTGCTTTGCAGTCAGTGACGGGAACTCATAACCACTAGGACATTGCAGCATTTTATCCTAAGTTAGCAGTTTGGGTTAACTCAGCTCTTATTGCTGTCATAGAAATTTTTGCTTTCAATGCTGCAGTGCAAAGTCATATGACACAAACAGTACCTATTTGGATGGTGGTCACTGCCAGTAATGAAGTGGCGACGGGTACAGGAATGGGTGATTCAGCAGAGTGCACTTTCTGCAACTTTTGGGTTTTGATGAGAGGAAGACCATTTTAGAGAAGCAGTGGTGGTTTTTTTCAGATGTTTTTGTTGCATAACGGGAAGTCAGCTGCAGTGAGGTAAAGAAGGGGTCTGGTAAGTTGTATGGTTTTGCTTCTGGATTGTTCTCACCTTCTCCATCTTGTGTGGGTGTTTCCAATGACTTTGCTTACCACTGTCTGTGTCATGGCCACCTCCACTGCTCTAGTGCTCCTGTGCCTTCTCTGAGGAAACTTTCGGTTACGCCCTTAACCTTCTATAGAAATGACCGACACTTAGGTGCAACTTGCAGATCTACTAGCATCCCAGGGTCTTTCTTCTTCACTTATCTTGTTACTCTATTGTGCCAGTTGTTTTGTTTTTAAAATCTGTACCCTAGGGTTGATTTGTTTTCTTAGGTAATCTCTGAACTTGCTTTACTCTATTTTTAATAACTTGGTGTATTGGCAGGTGCTATGCAAGGCAGTAGAAGAGCCATTTCTTTGAATTCCTTTCCACCTGAGGTATTTGTGCTGCCTGTGGACATAGAAAAGGTGAATGATGTCTTTTTTTAAGCATCAATAATCTTAATTCCTTAAGTAGTGCTGCTCTGATTTAAATCTGGAAATGTTGCCTTGAAGAGGCACAGTAAACTGGCTTCCTTTCAGGAGTTTGATTGGTAGGGACTGCAAGTAGTGATAGATAAACCCAAGAAAGGTTTTACAGACAGGGTGTGCTCAACTGGTGAGTTTTTTGCTTTTATCTGTTTTCCAGTACTGGGAATCAGATCTAGAGCCTTCACATTGAGCTATGTCCCAAGCCCATTTTTGTTTTGAGACAGGGTCTCACTAAATTACTAAATTGTTGAGCCGTGGCTCTCACTTGCAGTCTTCCTGCCTCAGTCTCCCAGAGTGCTGGGATCACAGACATGTGCCACCATGCCTGGATGGAAAGTTGTCCCTGATTGATGAATGATATTTGCTACTGGGCTACCACCAGGCTGGCATTATCACAAGAAATTCAGTGTGGGATGTCTGTTGACCACAACAGGAAAGACCTTTGTCTCTGGGTGATGTACATTATGAGTCATAAGTGACGGATGATTACTCAATTAAATGAACACTGAAATTTACATATATTAACTTCACTTACATGAAACTTCTTGATTTTTCAAATCTAAAACATTCTCCGTGAGAAAAAAGTGATTATGCTAATGAGTACTTTAACTGATTTTTTTTCTTGCAGGAAAATGCCCACTTTTATGTTGCAGATATGATTATATCAGAAATGGAGAAAATGAAGTGTAGCATTCTGAGTCAGCAGCAGACACAGATCTGGGGCACAGCTGAAGCCAGCGGGTCACTTGGGGATGATCAAGCTCACTCTGAAGCCACTTTCTACACTCATATGAAGCAAGAGTCTGGGTCTTCCACTTCTTCAGACAGTGGCTGTGAAGGCAAGCTGGACAAAGGCAGTGTTATGGCTTGTGTTTAGATGGCCCCTCAAGGCCTCATGCATCATAAAGCTTTTTCAGAGGTGGCTAGAGTGTGTGATACTGGGATTAAATGTGTGTGATTAGTAAATCTGTCCATTGATTGGTCTGGCATAGTTCTGGCTAGGATTCAGGGTGTGAGTGCTACACTGTCATAGGGCAAGTAGCCTACATACAACATAAAGGACAGAAAGAGTTTTCTTTCTTTCACTTTTGCTGTCTTCTGCCACTGTGAACAGTTGCCCCTGTGCTGTGCCACCCTGTCTTGGAGCCAGTGGATTACAAACTGAAACCTCTATAAACTGTGAACTAAGTAAACCAAGAAAAGTAACTAAAACAAGTGGGACAGTTTTATTATTCCTATGCATCTTTTCTATTCTGTCAAGTCTTGACATATGTATTTCCCTAAATCCTTGTCTAAAACTTCTTAGCTGGGTGTGGTGTTACAAACCTATAATCCCAACACTCTAGGAGGCTGAGGCAAAAACATGCAAAATTTGATCCGATTGCCCATTGCTTATGCAATTTAGTGAGACCTTATCTCAAAATAAAATGAACCAAAACCAAACCAAAACAAAACAAAACAAAACAAAAAACTGGTGATATAGCTTGGTGTGAAGGCCTTGCATTCAGTCCATAGTAACACATACATACATACATACATAACTTCCTTTCTTCTTGAGTAACCTATGTAATCCTTACCATTTCACTGGCTTTTGCCTTGAAGGACTTGGTTAACATGTTCCATCCATTTCTCAAATCCTATGCTTTGTTTTTCTTTGGACTTTGTTCTGCCTTTCTCTTTTTGCAGTGGCTGCCTACCTTTTGTTTTGATGCACATTATTCTTCTAGCTCCACTTCAACATTCTTTCCTTTTCCAAGAAGACTTCTTTCATTCATCAACAGTGAGCCTGTGATGGAAGTGCTGGGAATGAGTGGTACCTAGGTGTTTGTCTTCTCTCTAGGAGTTTTCTTTTTTTTTTTTTTTTTATTTTAAAAACCAAAGGAGGAAAACATTAACAGACAACCTTTCACAAAATAGCAAAAGAACAGTACAGACAATACAGTTACAAACAAAGTGGTAGGAAATTAACAATGCTTGTTGTATTACATATTGATATCGTCAAAGTGGTTTCTCGTGAAAACAGATAGAGACATGCAATATTGATCAATCAAGGACACATTGACAGCTTCTCTCAGCAAAGAAATAGACGAGAGTAGAACAACTATGTTAACTATCCTGTGTATACATACATACAAAATTTCTCCTTCTTTCCCTTCTCTTTTCCCTTATCCTAGTTGCCTTTAACCCTTGAGAGTTTTCCTATCATTTCATAATATCTATCATACCTCCTAGTTTAAAGTAACACTTTCAGGTTTTACACTACTGAAACAATGCAGGGCTTTCACATGCAGGTCTGATTGATTTCACTTATGAGTATGGTCTGTAGTTGTGACCATTTACCTGTAAAGGCCTCGAGTTTATCTATCTTTATAGCTGAGTAATATTCCATGATATAAAAGTACCACAATTTTCTTATCCAATCCTTGAAGAAGGATATTTGGGTTGCTTCCACAATTTAGCAATTACAAATCATGCTGCTATGAACATAGGTGCACATATATTGCTGTGATGCAATGTTTTTAGGTCTTCTGGGAAAATACTGACAAGGGGAATAGCTAGGTCGAATGGGAACTGTAGACCTACTTTTGTAAGAAATCTCCAAACTGATTTGCACAGTGGTTTCACCAGTCTGTATTCCCACAAGCAGTGGAGAAGGATTCCTATTTCTCCTCAGCCTCACCAGCATTTCCTATTGGTTGATTTTTTAATTCTAGAAATTCTTACAGGGGTAAGGTGAAATCTCAATGTTGTTTTAATTTGCATTTCTCAAATGACTGATGATGTTGAACATTTTCTCATGTATTTGTTTGCCATTTGTATTTCCTGTCTGAGAAGTGTGTATTCATCTCAGCTGCCCATTTTTGGATTGGGTTTTTGAATTTGGAGGGGCTGATATTTTTTACTTCTTTATATGTTGTAGATAGAAGCCCTTTGTCTGAGGGACCATCTGCTAAAATTTTTTCCAAGTTTGTGGGTTTCCTTTTTACTCTGCTGGTGATCTCTTTAGATGTGCAGAAACTTTCAGTAGGATGAGATCCCAGTTGTTGATTCTTTGAAGTGTTTCACATGCAATTTGGTTTTTGTTCATGAACTCTCTGCCTACTCCTCTGTCTTCAAGGTTTTTACCTACTTTCTCTTCCAATAGATTGAGTGTTTCTGTTTTAATATTGAGATCTGTGAACCATTTTGACTTGAGTTTGGTGCATGGTGATAGACTTGGGTCTATTTTCAGTCTGTGGCAG